TTACTTTGGAGGAATGGCCAATTCAAGAATATAATATAATAAAATTAATATAAAACACAATTTCATACTTTTTAAAGAAAGATCAGTCTGTCTAAACACGTAGGGGTGTAATGAGGCCGAGTCAGACTCAAATTTAACTCAAGTGTACATGAGCCGAGCCAGTTTGAACTTCACTCGCAAGTCACAAGTTTCCCCGAGCCTCGAGTCAATATTAAAAGAGCTTGAATTCTAGTTTTGAAATGAAACTAGGCCTCTTCAGCTTCAAAAATTAATTACTCTCAGAATCTAAACTAGTAAATAATTTTTTGTAAGAAAAAAATCATTAACATTTAATGCAGGCAATCAAAACTGCAAATGGCAGCCATACAACCTTCAAAAAAAAAAAATATTATATATATATAGCCTTCAACCTCTAATTTCATCACTCCAGCTTGATCATGCTTTTTAAGCTAAGAATAAAAATGGCATACTCGAGCCCAAGCGAGACTGTCGACCTATCTTTGAGAGATGATACAGCTCGAGTTTTCTCACGACTCAAATCTCGGCTACCTCATTTACTCCCTACTTATAAAAACTGATGATGCATTTTATTATTAATGTTTTTGGGAAATGATGATGATTGATTGTAGTAGCGCATAATAGCATTTCATGTTTTAATTTATTTTATTATATCATTTAAATTTGTCGTACCCTATTCTTTATATTTGGCTCTGTAGCAGGTCTTTTGTTTGGACCGATTTGGACCTCTTCGTCGTTTCTTCGTGAGGGAACTTCTAAAATTTTCTTGGAAAATTCAAAATAAAGCTACCAGAATTTTAATAAAGTCAGAGGGCCTTGCGGCTCTATTTCCAAATGGTAAAGATTATGCCGTAAATGTGGTCTTCTAGTGTAGCATGCGTTTATATTGTTGCTCAATTGTAGTCGTGTTAACATCAAATGAAATATTTTGATCATTGCAAATCACACTCGATGAAGAAGGCATTGACATGTAAATTTTTATAGGGTTACTTAAATTATTGAATTTATTTATTAATAAATTTATCATTGAGCAATTAAATAATAATAAATTTAATGCTATTTATTTTGCCTTAATATGACATTACTAAAGAGAGTAAAATGATAGAACAAATAGATGATAGATATTTATTTGATGCCAACGTTGGCATCTGAGGACTTTGCTATAAAGCTTTATTATAGGTGAAAACATGCCACTGTAAAGTTCCTCGCTAGTCATAATATGGTCGACTTTGAATGAAGAGTTTCTTCGAGCGATAAATTTTGAATGCACGAGAATTTTTTTATCTTGTCATGAATGGTTTTCAGGACAACATATGCAATTCAACTATTTGAACCTATATGATAGATGCAAAACTAGTTATTGATAATAAACATGAAGTAAATGATGTTTTGCATTTTCCACTCAAACCTTAATATTAGTAGGTTGCAAGTTAGTCAAACCTTTATAGTATAAGATGATATATTAATTTTTACATCATCATGAGCTTGTAAATATCTTCTAAGCAGTAAATTCGAGTATCAGCTTTATGGGTTTTAAGACTTCTTTACAAGAATGAAGATTTTAAATTATCAACAATTTTCATTTTTCATGATAAGACAGATTATATGACCAATGTAGACTGGTGCTAACACACTATCATTAAAGCTTGAGAGTCGGAGGAGAGTGGTCTAGCAGGTTGCGTATTGTAGAACGTTAGAGTGTACCGTCACGCATCCATGTATATTTACGAGCTCACCTTATGATACTGTATTTTCTTGGCCTTCCGTGAATGCATAATGTTTAATTAAAATTCTAATAAGAACTTAAATACAAATATTTGGTACCATGTATATTAGATTAGAGAGTAAGTATTTTGGAAGAAGAATGATGTTGATTTTTTGCTAGCAAACAATTGACCTACAATATGCATCTTCACCCGGTATATTTTTTTTCCAAAATTTTTATGATGTATACTATTAGTATTGACAAGTATGCTCAAACAATGAGTGGATTAACAATAAAATCATGAACAAAAATAGTTTATCCATGCACTGGTCATTGTAATTAGCAGTGTGTGTATTGCAAGTAGTTGCACCTTGGCAAGAATAAAGATCTCATTCTTGAGCATGCATAATTGCACCATCCTAATGCTACTTTTATAATCCATAATTTACATAAAAATCCATAATTAATTTTATTCTATTACTTTATCCAACAACATTTGGATCTTAAACAAAAGAGATTAT